AAGTTGTACCATTCACTCCTTGTATTGTGTAAGTTGTACCATTCACTTCTTGTATTGTGTAAGTTGTACCATTCACGTCTTGTATTGTGTAAGTTGTATCATTCACATGTTCTCAGAAATTGTGTCAAGAAATGTCTGAACTGGAGCTGTTTGAAAAAGGCTGCAGTGTAGCTGTTGCCTCGTCATTCTTGTTCTATATAACCTCTATTTCTACAAACATGAGGTCAGTCAAGGAGCCATCTACGACAAGTAAGAGGTTTAATTCTTCATCATTTTTCACAGAACCCCCACATCAAAATGACCATGACATCACTTTAGCAGTTCTTTAAAAATTTCCCCAAAACAACTCATTTCAAGCATAAACTTACAAGATAACTTCAAACATAATGCTTTCTAATTCAGACTCGGATGTTTTTGTGTTCTTTGTTTCCTTAAGTGTCTTCAGACATTTTGCTATAAAAGCAAAGTTAATCAACTACTGCAAATGTTCTCGTCTAACTTTTACATCTTTGTGATTCTGAGGCATGTTAAGATTTGTGCCCATAAGTAAAATAACACCACCACATTGTATCTTAATGTATCTGATACTTTGGTTTGTAAACAAACAAACAAACAAACAAAAATCAGTAACCATTTGGATTACCTTGACATGACAAAGTTGGAGGTGTCCAGAGACCATTTTGATTACAGATGGATACATTTAGTCCTCCTTTGTCATAAAAGCCCTCTTTACATAAATACAACACAATGCTGCCAGGGGATGATTTATTGTTCCACACCTGCTCTGTGGAGTCAATTAAAGGAGGATTTCCACACAAGATCTCTACAGGGAAAAACAAACAAAAAACATGTACCACAAACAGGTCATCAGTGAATTAATCAATGTTGTGCACATCTGTGTGAATCTTTAAACTTCCCCTCCCAAAGATAAATCAGATGTGTTAAAGGCAACACACACACGCAAAGCATCAAGTCTTTTTAGGTTTAATGCAACAAGCTGTGCACATCTGGACTGGAGGATTTTCTCAGTGCAGTTGGATCATTTGTGGACGGCCAGTTTCAGGTCTCTCCAGAAGTGTTTGACAGGATTCAGGTCTCTGTGTGGAACTCACTGTTGTCCCTTAGACACTGAGCTCTGTGGAACAGGGTTTCACTGAGTTCACAGAACTGGCTTGTTCCACTTTGGAGGAAGCTGTTGGGGGAAGAATCAGTTGTGTTGTGTGTTTCCTTGACTGATGAAGCCTTCTGGATCGAAGGTGAAACGTTTCAGCACCAAAAAAGAAACTGTCCAGATGACCTTACTGGAAAATGTTGGATTGTATACCTGGATTATTGAGCATGGGCTTTGTTGTTGGTTTCACTGAGATTGTCTCTGTTCTTTACTCCATCCAGCTCTCTCAGCTCTAAACAATCTCCCTGCTGCTGAAGAACACAGCATGATGCTTTCCCCACCATGCTTCACTGAGCGGTGAGTTCATTCAGAACTGAGGCCAAACAGTTCAGTCTTGGTCTTCAGAGAATCTTGTTCCTCACAGTTTGGGAGATCTTCAGATGGTTTTTCATGTGTTTTTTTCTGAAAAGATTCAATCGAGTTGTAATGTCTGGTTTAGTGGAGACCTGAGGTTCTTGTTGCCTTTCTGGAATTTAGTCCCATCTTTATACAGGACCATCAGGTAACTCATCACGTTCAGCTCAGTGTGGCTGGGTGACCAGAGTCCTGCCACAGAGTCCAAACATCTATTTGAGGAGAACTGAAACCTTCAATGCAGCAGAAATGTTTTTGTAGCTTTCCCCATATCTGTGCCTTGCAACAATCCTGTTTCAGAGCTCTGCAGGCTGTTTCTTCATCACTGATGTTCTCTGTCAGCTATAAAAAGCCTTCTGTGAACAGATGTGCGCTTTACCAAATCATGGTCAATCAGATGAGGAAGAATAAAAGAAGACGACTCCAAGTCCAGAGAGATCCAACTGTGGCATCTGGTCTTATTGCACAGATTGCCCCAGACTCTGAATCGTTTTACTATTTTAGTTTTGAGATGTTGAAATTTCTGAGTTATTTTTTCTGTATTAGGACATATAATTTTAAAATGACATGATTTTGCAATAAGGGGCAGGGTATGTTCTTATCTGGAAACTCTGTGTGTTTGTCAGATAATGATCACTGACAAATCTTCCTCAGCTCTGCAGCTCATTTACTGTATGAACTTTATCTTCTTGACAATTGCTCCATCTCGTGAGGATGTTTCTGGAATTAAATGTTAGGCTTGTTTTGTTAAGAGAGTTAAGCTAGTTAGCAAATGCACTGAAAATAATTTATTTTGTACTTAAACCCTTTAAAAACATTATTTGAAATGCAATTTGTCCAGCAGATGCAGGAAATAGTATCTTTACACCCAGTTGGAGTTACGTAATAAAAACCAGTTGAGTCATGCTGGCTCGGTGAATAAAAATATTCTGCTCATATTTTGTAATGAAACAGATTCCACAAAGTCCCAGCCTTGAGCTTGTTTCTTTGGCTTCTTGACTGCATCATAACTCTTACCGCCTGCTGAAAACTAAAAGCTACGCATCGTTTACAGGACTCGCACGAGATTCTTTAGATATAAAAGACGTAACACTTGGAGTTTAGATGTTGCCTTACCTTCACAGACCAAAGAGGGTCCTCTCCATGATCCATCAGCTCCACACACAGAGCTGTTCTCTCCTCTCCTCCACACAAAGCCTTCATCGCAGGCGTACATGGCCACACCGCCGTACGTGGTTCCTGCGACAGACAGCAGGACTGTGTCCTCGGCTGCAGCCGGCTGTCCACAGTCCACCACTGAGAGGGACGGGAGCAAGTAGAGTTACATCCATCCAATCCCCCCATATTCTAGCAGAACCACTCTGAACGGTGTTGATGACATCAAATTAGCATCTCTACCCTATTTGTAATACCTTTAAGCATTTTTATTGAATAAAATAAAACATTTGTGGCATTTGCAAAGATGAATGGCATTCCTTGTATTTTAATGCACACATCACAAAGTGTAATATATGAAAAGTGTGTCTAAAAGTGAATTTATCCACATATATTACTTTTGCAGGAAGCTCCATCTCTTTGTGGGTGAAATGGCTCAGCTCCTCCGTGGACCTGGTATCCCATCTGACAGCTACAGTCAAAGCTGCCCTCCACATTTCTGCACTGACCTCCTGCTCCACACAGCCCGGTGATCTCACACTCGTTGATATCTGCAAAAACAAAGGCAGATTTTTAATCTATATGACAACCAGATTGACCTTGTCAGGATTGTTTCACAGATATGAAGGTCCTAACTGATGAAGACGTCTCTGTCTCTGCACTCACTGTTTGAAGTCTTTCCAACTAGAAAGGTTCGGCTCACCTTGGCAGTGGGTTCCATCATTTGGGATGAAGACAGCCATGTTGTTAGAAGGGCTGTAGCCAGCCAAGCAGGTGCAGTAGTAGCTACCGTAGGTGTTGTGGCATGTAGTGTGCTGCCCACAGATCTTAATGGCTCCTATCTGGCACTCATCTTTGTCTGAAACACACACACACAGCAGAGATAATCATGAATGTACTCCTTATACAAGTTGTACTCTCGGGTTCTTCAGTGGATTTTAATGAGCTCTGATTTATGTGCGGGTCCTTTTCAGACATTGGATTAAATTATTTGATCCTCTATAAAAAATAAAAAAGTAACAATGCAGCTGTAAGAATACAATACAATGTGATTGGGTATCCAATGTTCAAGTTGGTGTATATTTCTCAACCTTGAACTGTTTTATCAATTTTTTTTGAAAATATTATAAATATTTATAATAAAAATAGTTTTTATTTTTGAAAATGAAGATTCTAATCCAGATTCCAGCATGTCTTTTAACTCGTATTGAACATGTGGTGGACTGTTTTCACTCTTCGTTGGATGAAGCATTGTGTAAGATTGACTGCTGTGACGCCGTTTTAAAAATCTGTCCAAATTATTCTTTAAAACTTATTTTGTTGATGCAAAACCCTGAGGCCGGAGCTCTGACAAGTGATGCAAAAAAACCACCAGACTCTAATAACGCAGGTTATTGTTATCAGCTCTTTGCTCCCTGTAGGCAGGTTTACTAGTTGTCTGCAGAATTTCCAGAACTTAAACAAAACCCATGAACTCGCTTTATTTAAATACCATCAGTCTACAACAAATGTCTCAGAGAACCAAACGTCCTGATGCATGTGCAATAATCTAGGTGGAAAAATCTAGCAAGGTTAAGTCAGGTCATCTGGACGGATTCTTCTATGTTGAAGAAGAATCCGTCCAGATGATCTGACTTAACCTTGTTATGATCATACAAAAACATTTGCATACATTGCATTACATGCACAGCACTTTGGTTGGCCTTATCGCTGTTTTAAATGCTCTATGAATAAAATGGTATGGTATTTAAAAAAAGCCAATTAGTAAAAAAAGTCTATTTTAGGAGGCTGTCACACAGTGACGTACAGCATCAGCGTGTGAAAAGAAAGGCAAACACGCTGTTTTACGTCACACAAGTTAGGTGTAAGTTTTGAATAAGTTAAGCATATGCTGATATACATATGCTTGTTGTATGGCGATGCCAGACAAATATTTTGTACATGCACAAAAGTTTCAGCATATGCCGTCGTGTTGCTAATAAGTTAGACATACAGTAAGTTACAGGCATGTGACAGGAATTTATGCACAAGTTAAGTAACTCGTAAGTTGACTTACGTCTGAAACCAGCCAGGCAACTGTGCACGTGCATGTAACTTATATCAGACGTTTCCACAATGTATATTGACATATTCTCTATACTTACCCTATACTTACTGAATGTGTTTATAACTTACAACATATTTGTCAATGTTTTGGGGTTCAACTGCATATAAGGCTGGATCCATGAGGTACAGAACTATCACCACAGGTACGGAAGATGTGACTGTGATAACAACTAAGTATTTTGGGGGTGGCCACAATCCCTTGTGTCAACTTCCCTGATTACAGATTTATTTAATTTCTTCTGAGGCATAATGATGGAGGTGCAGAGAGCTGCACGTTTTATATCTGATGTAATGTAAATGTTACACTCCAACATGCTGCATGAGTTACACTAACATCGATCATAAGATCTGCATGGGCCAAAAACACAGTCATACACTTGTATAAATTCTGTATTTACCAGGGACCAGTTCTGGATAAGTTGCCTGTATGTTAAGCATTAATTTCTATATTCGTTCAGCTTGTTAGTGATACAGTATGTATACGTCCAAAAGACAGTGGATTTCTTTGTCATCCTCAGCGTAGGCCAAGGTGTTGGACACATTCTTCATACATCGGCATAAAATGTCTAAAACATTATAGTGTGGTAATAGCCAGCAGTAAATGAGTCCTCGAGGCTCAATGGGATTGCCCTGTCTAAATAAAGGTTGAATGAATAAAGATTGCATCAAATCTCCACTTTGTCGCAACCTCCCATCCTGAGCAGCACACTGGTGACAGTGGAAAGGAAAAACTCAATTTTAACAGGAAGAAACCTCCAGCAGGACCAGGTTCAGGACAGGCCACCATCTGCCCCAAGTGGCTGGGGTTAGAGAGGATATGAAAGCAACACAGACAGACACACCACAACACAATCACAACACAACAACACACAACAAGCCACACCGCCACACAAAGCACAACAAACTACACACTAAAACATACCATAACACAATACAATACAACACACCATAACGCAACACAACACAGTCTCTAGTTTTCAGCCTTATTTCCTTTACAAATGCAACAAACATGAACTTTCTTCTTTAAAGTCCACCGGTAAAAGTCCAGTAGTAATTTGCGACTTTACTCTTGTAATAATCTACGCTCACAAACAGCTGACATTTAATTTTTACAGTTTTTCCGCATTTGCTAAAACACAAAACCCAATTTTCTAAACCAAGTGACCACTTCCTATACACACATAATAAAACTATCCTTGTTTGTCAAAACTATGAACACGTTTCACATGGACATAATTCATAAAGCCTTAATTCTCATAACTCCAAATACATTTTGTCTTGCTAAAACACAAGTTGCAAAAAACCCTGTTCGCACTTTCACATTAAAGCTCATGTAATACAAAATGACAGGACACACTCAGCAATACTTAAACACAACAAACACACCTGGCTTCATTCATTAAACATGACTCAAAATTGAAGACGCTTGTTGCAAATGATGTGACAACACCTAGTCCCGACTGCACAGTTTGCTGAAGGTTCCAAACTACCACGATGGACGGAGACAGAGGAAGAGAAGTTTGAGTCAGAGGAGGGAGAGGAGCAGGCCGAGGATGAAGAGGAGGGGGTCAAGTTGACCACGCACCGTCATTACGGTTGAGATGAGAGCAACAGTCATTAACCATGTCATTGTCCATGGCATGTCAATGGCTGAAGCAAGACAAAGAATCTGTCCAAATCTGAGGTTCTCAGTGGCCACCATTATCTTGGCATTCAGAGAACACAACAGGTACTGTACTGTATTGCTGTTGGTCACTACAGTACATATTTGCAGTATAATGGAGAAGGTTCATCCCAGTATCTCTGCTGTACAAATAGATTGTGAAGCATGTCCATTGAGGTTTTTATCGAATGCATGTCTCTTTAGAGTACATGTTTGGTTATGTAAATGCATGTTTGTTTCTCTAGAGTTGAAAGAATACCACATGGAGGTGGGAGGGTTGCCATACTTACACCAGCACAAGAAGCCCTCATTGGGGAACAACACAATCAAACTCAGAGAAATCAAGGACATGGTCATTGTTGGCAATGTCAGCTTTGTAAACACTGACAATGTCAGCTTGACCACCATGGACAGAATTCTCTAGAGCCAATGGGTGTGCATGAAGCAGACTTATAGGGTACCCTTTGCGCGCAACTCGGATGGAATCAAAGATCTATGTTTCCAGTATGTGCAAGTATACATCCATGTATACAGTTTAGTGTACAGTGGGTGCACTTACCGTGTTGCTCAGTGGCTTACCATGTTACTGGACAATACTGTACTAGTATATTGACTGTCATTCTAAACACATGAAAACACTTCATTTTCAGAGGATATTCCGGTTGGACTCTATGGACAGACCTCAAGAGTACATATTCCTGGATAAGGCTGGCTTCAACCTCATGAAACAAAGAAGAAGCCATAACATCATTGGCCAAAGAGCTATCATACAGTGTATGTTCCTGGCCAACGTTGGGGTAACCATTATTTGAGCTGCCATGAGTTTTGAAGGGCATGTCCACCAGCATGCTGTCCTCAGCTCATTCAATACTCAACGTCTCCTCACCTTCCTGGGAAAGCTAAGAGACACCCTCCATGACAGCGAGCAACAGAATCCTGGGCATGCAGATCATTCCATTTGGAACAATATTAGTTTCCATCACATTGTACCAACCAGATCAGAGAGTAGTTCATAATCAACCATCAATTTCTGAATGTCTGTCTGCCACCCTACTCACCTTTCCTAAACCCTATACAGGAGTTTTTCTCGTCATGGAGGTGGAAGGTCTATGACTGCCAACCTTACACCAGAGAGAACCTTCTCAGGGCTATGGACCTGGCCTGTGATGATGCGGTTGTGGAGGCATTCCAAGGCTGGATCCGGCAATACCAAGGCATTCTTCCCACGTTGCCTGGCGAGGGACAATATTGCCTGTGATGTCAACGAGGTCCTGCGGGCCGACCCAGCTCGATGACATGATGCCGCCCAATGATTGTGGTGTGTGTGTGTGTGGTGTACTTCCATATTAAAAAAAGAACATCACGCCCTGAACCTTGTGTTTTCAGTTCTTTTGTTGTAGTGTGGATGATGTGTAGTAGTGCCTACAGTTTTGCAGCATGTGAGCAACTGTTTCAGTGTGAAAGTTTGGGTTTTGTGAAGAGAATTTGAGGTTTTGTGAATGGAATTTGAGAAGAAAGTTTTGAATTTAGAGTTTGGGGAAAACAAAGGGAGGTTTTACTGTAACATCAGAAGAGGCTAAATCTACTGTCAGTGGCTCATTATCATCACCATGGTAACCACACACCTGCCACTCACTCCCTGACGAGACTCAAGAAGACGTGCTAAATAAAATAGGAGTCATATTGGACAGCAGAGTGACTGGAGCATCTGGTTTTGGTTTTCAGTGTTGGGACACTGGGAGATGGGACAAATAAAAAGAATCTTCCAGTTTTAAAGAGAAACTTCTGAACTCAGATAAAATGAAAGTCAGTAAGATATGTGAAGTGTGATACGCACAAGAAACAAACATGTTGGTGTATAAATCAAACAAGAAATTTTAAGTTCTGTAGAAATCACAAGAGTTTTGAATTGCTTTTATTCGTCTGTATTGCCATGAGATATCTACTTTAATCGTGATTAACAAATGCATAATCTTTGTTTTGCTTTGTAAGAATGAACACGTTTTTCCATTCTACAGTATATTACATATATTAAAAGCTTTTTTTCCTACCTTGACAGAAGGTTCTTCCATTTCCAACAAAACCATACTTGCAGTTGCAAACTTTGCCCGAGCCGTCTGACTTGTCCTCGCACGTGGCGTTAGTGTGGCAGGTTGAACACACGTCCAGCAGAGTTTGTCCCTCTGCCAGAAAACCTGAAGAAAAGGAGGATCATCTAGAAAGCTGGTTCCACCAATAACTAAAGCTCTGTGACGTATAAGAATTCATAAAATGGACATTTATAGTAATCAACAAATAGTTGTGTGAATATCACCTGAACATCCAATGAGCAAAAATACAAAAATCATTCTTCCGTTTCTTTCATCCATCTTCCCTGAGAAGCTGCCAGCAGCTGTCCTCACTACACCCCCTCACCCCTTCCTTCTTTATTTTGGTGCTTCCTTCTCATGGACCGTTGTGGCACTGAGGGTGTTTGATAACCAGGGGAGGCTGAGAGTGGGTGAGATGAGGTCACGCTGAGAACGACTCCTTTTCTCAATGGTTACAGATGGCTGCTGTTCCTGCGGCTCCATCCGTCATTCTGTGGTCCACTCGCTCACGTCTGACGATTGGTTTCTGCTCACTCTGCTAAACTGCACACTCATGCTGTGGTATCTGATAAAGGCTATATTTGGGGCAAACCTGGGGGTGGGTGTGTGTGTGTGTGTGGGGGGGGGGGGGGGGTGTTTGCTAAAAAAGAAACAGTCTTAGGTACATGTCCACTTTTATGTATGTTTAATGTCTATGTTAATGTATGTTTAAGGAAAATTTTGTTTCTGTATTTCACACTTTTTAAACAACATTTTAATTACTGCCTGCTGCTGGAGGCCAAATTGTGATGATCATTTTAGTCAGAATATATGAGTGTTAGTAAAATATCTCATGAACACCTGAAAACTCATTGGATAAACATCTACAACTGAATAACTCCTGCAGTCAGTCCAGTTTAAGACGGCTGCCACAGTGGATCAACCTTTATGGTGGCTATAACTCACATTTAGAGATACTGAGTTAAGTTTTGGCGTGGTAGTAGCTGAGAGTCATCCACACTACAAACTGAGAACTAACAGATGTCAGAAGATGTTACAGGATTGCACAGATCAGATAAAAAAAAAATGTAGATTTGTCTCAACATTAGGTTGATAGTTGAAAACTGGAGGGCAGCAGGTGAGTTGTCTTCAAGCCGTCTTAGACCTCTAATTTCTAAATGCTTTTTATTTTTAACAGAACAGTTTACATTTAACTGCTGATGAAAAGCTGACGAGCACCATCATCACCACTGTAGTCAAGAGTGTCGTTTCACAGGTCTCTCTGGAAAATGAGTCCTCGTGACTCAACGAGACTAACCTGATGAAATAAAGGCTGAATGAAACAAAAGTGTTGTTTTAAACGTTGTTTTATACTAATGACACCAACATCCTCCCGTGCTTAACTACAGGGTCCATGACAGAGGTGTGTGTGTGTGTGTGTGTGTTTGGGGGGGGGGGGGGGGGGTGTAATAAAGTGGTGAGTTGTGGGAGTTGGAGATAAGCTTGGTGAGCTCCTATCTCTCAGCCCAGCAGGGTCCTAACTGGGGTTTTGCTGTCACTCACACCAGTAAGATATGGACCCGCGCCAGTTTCTTGAGCACTAGACCCTGCCTCCCCCCCTTCAATTACCACTCCCACCCTCAACTGAACAGCGGGACATGGTAGAACTATATGGTATGTTGGTTTTTGTCCAGTGTCATCTAAGATGTGAAGGGTGAAGCTCTCTGATAACAGTGGAAACATTTCAAATAAATGATGATGAAGGAACCGTTTCTTGATCAAACTCAAATAATGTGAACTTCTACCTAAAGTAGCTCTTGCAAACAGAACTTGCTGGCTCAGTTTATTTCTCTCTCTCTCGTTCGACTGACCACGTCCTCAGGGGTTGCCACGTCGAGCGAACTTGCATGAAGATTTGGCACTTGTTTCTAGGCCGGATGCCCTTCCTGTCAGAACATTCAACAAACCACAAGTTGAGCAGGAGGCTGTCATCAAAGATGCCCGGGGAGCAGCTCGGGCTTAAGGGCCTTGCTCAAGGACTCCCAGTGGGGCAGATGAGGGTGGAGGCAGATGTAGGGGACACCAACATGGGGCGGCTGTGGCTGAGTGGTTAGAGCAGTCGTCCTCCAATGCGAGAGTTGGGGTTTTAAATCCACCAGCAGTCACATGTCGAAGTGTCACTGGGCAAGACACTGAACCCCTCATTGCCTCTGATGTGTGTCCCATCAGTGTATGAATGTGATCTAAAGCACTGATTAGTCTCTTTAGAATGATTTGTTCAATTAGCTTTGTAGAGATCTAGTATAGAGCTGTATGAATGGGTAAATGAGGCACAGATTGTAGTGTAAAGCGCTTTGAGCATCTTGAAATAAGATAGAAAGGCGCTATAAAAGTACAGTCCATTTACCATTTACCATCCCAAACAAATTTTGTTGTAACGCTCCGAGGATTCAAACTTGTGACTTCTGACTCACATGCTCAGCTTCTCAAACCTCTGCACCACCACTCCCTTGTTGCTGGCTCAGTTGGCAGTCAAGAGCTGGCGACTGAAAATGTCATGTAACTTTTCATAAAAAGAACCACTTCATTTAAAATAAAGCTTTTGTCTAAAGGGTTTCTACAAACAGGATTCCAAAAAAGTTGGGACACTAAACAAATTGTGAATAAAAACTGAATGCAATGATGTGGAGGTGCCAACATCTAATATTTTATTCAGAATAGAACAAATCACAGATCAAAAGTTTAAACTGAGAGAATGTATCATTTTAAGGGAAAAATCTGTTGTTTCCAAATTTCATGGCGTCAACAAATCCCAAAAATGTTGGGACAAGTCCATTTTTTCCACTGTGTGGCATCCCCCCTTCTTCTTACAACACTCAACTCTGACTGGGGACAGAGGAGACCAGTTTTTCAAGTTTAGAAATAGGAATGCTCTCCCATTCATGTCTAATACAGGCCTCTAACTGTTCAATCATCTTGGGCCTTCTTTGTCGCACCTTCCTCTTTATGATGCGCCAAATGTTCTCTATAGGTGAAAGATCTGGACTGCAGGCTGGCCATTTCAGTACCCGGATCCTTCTCCTACGTAGCCATGATGTTGTGATTGCTGCAGAATGTGGTCTGGCATTATCGTGTTGAAAAATGCAGGGTCTTCCCTGAAAGAGATGACATCTAGATGGGAGCATATGTTGTTCTAGAACCTGAACATAGTTCTCTGCATTAATGGTGCCTTTCCAGACATGCAAGCTGCCCATGCCACAAGTGCTCATGCAACCCCATACCATCAGTGATGCAGGCTTCTGAACAGAGCGTTGATAACAACTTGGGATATCCTTGTCCACTCTGGTCCGGATGACATGGCGTCCCAGTGTTCCATAAAGAACTTCAAATCGTGACTCATCTGACCACAGAACAGTCTTCCATTTTGCCACACTCCATTTTAAATGACCCCTGGCCCAGTGCAAATGTCTGAGCTTGTGGAGCTTGCTTAGAAATGGCTTCCTCTTTGCACTGTAGAGTTTCAGCTGGCAACAGCGGATGGCATGGTGGATTGTGTTCACTGACAATGCTTTCTGGAAGTATTCCTGAGCCCATTCTGTTTGAGGTGCAATGACATTTAAGGGCCCGGAGATCACGAGCATCCAGTAGAGTTTTACGTCCTTGACCCTTACGCACAGCGAATGTTTCAGATTCTCTGAATCTTTTGATGATGTTATGCACGGTTGATGATGATAACTTAAAAGTCTTTGCTATTTTACGCTGGGTAACACCATTCTGGTATTGCTGCACTATCTTTCTGCGCAACAATGGGGGAATTGGTGATCCTCTTACCATCTTGGCTTCTGAGAGACACTGACACTCTGAGAAGCTCTTTTTATACCCAATCATGTTGTCAATTGACCTCATTAGTGTTAATTGGTCTTCCAGCTGTTCGTTATATGCTCAATTTCCTTTTTCCAGTCACTTAATAGCTACTTGTCCCAACTTTTTTGGGATTTGTTGACACTGTGAAATTTTGAATCAACATGTTTTTCCTTTAAAATGTTATATTTACTCAGATTAAACTTTTGATCTGTCATGTTATATTACGAATAAAATATTGTCATTTGCCATCTCCACATCATTGCATTCAGTTTTTATTCACAATTTGTTTAGTGTCCCAACTTTTTTGGAATCCGGTTTGTACAATAATTACACTATTTACTGAAACCTTTCATTTTGAAGCTTCTGAAAAAACTAAAGTTAAATAAACAATTTAAGAATGAACTTTTATGTTGATTTTTCTATAAAATATGTGATGATACAGCATCGTCACTGACAAAAACATGAAGTAAATAGTACAGCAGTCTGATTAATCTACTACAGGAGTTACTGTTCAGCTGCAACACAAACTGTGTGGGACAGTGATAACCCTCCTGCTGCCCTTGGGTCAAAATGACCCGTTCTCTCACCAAACTTCAGTGATTTCTACGAGTTAAAGCTACACTTGGTTTCCTGTCAGAGTCCGGTGTTAAAGATGGATTGATCCTGTTAATAAATACCCAAAGAATAAGGACAATTTTATTGTTAAAGTTTATTTCACGTTAGCACCAGTTCTTTATTACAAAGTCTCCCTCTGACTCACCTCCATGACGTGCCATTTTTAGAAACAAAATTATATGAATAACTTCAGAGAAGTGTCTGCTTAACTTGTGGCTGATGATATAAAGTCACATTCAGGAAATTAAACACAACAAAAAGAACAGCACGCAACAAGTGGTGAACACAACCAGTAGTTTAAAATGTAGATGTGACAAACGAAGACAAACTCATCTAAAAGTAACACAAGAGTCTGAACGGGTGATCAACGTGTAAACAAATAAAAATGCAACATTTTGTCTACACTGGGTTGAACATAACCTACAGATGTGGTTTTATGAAAACAAAATCCTTTTTTTGTTTTTGTTTTTAACCATAAATTTGAGTAATGAGGGGAACGACCATATTGAAATAGAGATGTATATTAGTTATGGTTAGTGGTGGCATAAACTGTTCACAATGGTAATTAAGGCTAATATTTTACCATACCATACCATACCATACCATACCATACCATTTTATTTATAAAGCACTTAAAACAGCGACAAGGCCAACCAAAGTGCTGTACAGACAGAAACAAACTGGTAAAGCACAAAGCAATATACAAAATGAAGTAAATCAGAGTATAGACATAAAAAAGATGCAATGATGACAAACCAGTGTGGAGCGTACAGGATCAAAACACAGATCATCTGGTGTTGAAAGCCACTGAATAGTAGTGGGTTTTTAAACGGGACTTGAAAACCGAGAGGGAGGGGGTCACCTGTCATAGAAAAAAAACGATTCACAAGCAATCAGGTGTAGACTTCATGAAATTTATTACAAAGGTTTGGAGAACAGCCAGACTCACAGAGAGTGAAGGGATCACAAGTACAGAACTTATCCATGCCTTGTCCTGTCAG